GCAGAAAACTCGTTTCTTCTGTCCGAGCCATCATTGATCCACTCGACCACTAGTTTGTTGCTTGTTGATTCAACCGATGGTGGCAATGTATTTCCAGCCCACATTGTGAGATTTCTTCTCACATTCCGGTGTTCGTCGTATACCACCAGAACATTCCCGAATCCAAAGAGCTGAATCGGGCAAGAAGAATGAAAATTTGTAGGCATCAAGAAGAAGCAGACGCGTACGACGAACTGTTTGGGTGGAAACTAGGGATCACGTAGTCAATGTCAAATAAAAGAATAAGCAAAACTCTTGGTTAGGAGTCTGCAACTACTCGCATGTTCGCTTACAAGGACGACTGGAGAACTCAATTAAATCTAATGATATACATCGGAACTAATGAGTACCGCAATCGCCCATGCAATAGCCAGTTACAATATAATTCAGTTGCAAATTACACCCACTTGCATAGCCTTCATCACTGCAGCGAATTAATAATGCACAATCAACCACGTCAAACGGATGTTTAAAAAACGAGAATTTGTAGTGAACTAGTTTCATGGCCTGCAACAATTTTGCCAGTGTCAAAGAATCCAGTGAAGTCTACTATTTTATTTCATTTGGTAATCGTTCTCCTAACTTGTTTGCTAGTATGACTCCAAAACCATGCCAACTTGGTTTTAGGTTACACGACGGCGCTTAGTCTAGAACTTAGTTCGCTCGTTTGGCAACAAACATTTGCCAACGTTTATCTAGTTTGATGTAGAACGTTGAACGTTTCAGTGATAAGGCAGAGAGCTTGAAAGTTATACCCTCAAATTACTTTCTATTAGAAGAGAATACTTGTTGGACTCGGGTTTTGTGTGACGTCTTTTGATAAGTTGTCGGTTCCCAATTTCGGGTTTGTTCCAGTCGAATTCTCTGATGTTTGCTCTGTAACTGAACACTGGTCTCGACCTCCGTGGTGCTCATTATCTAATTGCAGTGAGCTAAAACACAATCGCGTTGAGTTGTTGGATACTACTTGTGGGAAAATCACAGCAGTTTTAACGATGTGTTCGATGAAATCACTTCTAATAAAGGCTTTGAGCAAGTTTCTGTACCGCCCTTTGCTAGACCTTCGTCCGGTCTAGAAACAACTGTTACCATTGAAAACCAACTGCACCAATTTTTAGTTGCAATGCAAAATGAGACCAAATATCCACTTGCTAGGTTTCTTACTTACGAAATTACTCAAGTCGACTTTTCTCAGCTTACTATGGATAGAAGTTTGCGGTCGTCATCAGCATCTAGTTGGTCTTATCTCCTAACTCAGTGTTTTTCCATTGTGCATACCTTGAACTTCCTGAAGTCTATGCGAATTGTACATCCTTCTGGTTGTGAAATGTGCCATGTCAGGTTCAACTTTTCCGGGTAGCCCGAAGCATAACCATGAGGTCCGATGTATGACTCGGAGCGGTCAGAGTTAATTCTGCACTTTGTGTTTCCTAAAATACATACAGTAAGTGAAAAGTAAATTGCGATTTTACATAAGTACGAGTTGAAAAATCGCGTTAGTAATATACTTTAAATATACTGACTTAAAATCATTGCGAAATGTTTTAATTTTAGTTACTGTTATGTTTACCTTTTGGGAAGACTGTCACACCTAAGAAGAAAGCTGCAGAACTTTTTGGCTTCCCTTGATTGTCATCATGGGTTTACTAATGTGAGCATGATACACTCGTAGCTCTCCAATTGCTCTGCGACTTGTGGCACGTATAACTCAAGTAACCCACAAATGGAAATGATCCACACCGTGGACGAAAATGGATGTGACGTCTTTTTCTGTGGGCCTGCATTATACTTGGTTTAACAACCATTTCGGATCTGGAATATTCGGCCTTATTCATTCATCCATTCAAACTTCATGACGCTTAATATCTAGTTAACAAGCTCGCGATTAGCTGGACCGATAATAGAAGACTAACTCCTTGTTGTGCAGCAAACAGCACATGTGTCAAAGGCTAATGCAGTATTAAGCAACTCACAGAACAATTTCGACTAAAAGTTAGAAGTCAAAATGTCTTCCCTTTCAACAGGAAACCGAAAAAAAAACAGGATGCCAATACAAGATAACGCCCATATGTTGGATCTGCACCAATCGGCCGTAAAGTACGTTTGAGTTGACGGGCATTTTATTAGCCGTACACGGCCGTACACTGTCCAACTCCAAACTTCAAATGCAGCACAGCAATCTGAACTCAAATGCATCTTTTACCTTGCTAAATTCATAGCTTCTGGTATACCCCGCACCGACTTTATTAACTCGCCATAAACTAGCGTGAACAAACTGAAGCACAGTCAAAAATGGAAATATTGGAAATTGAAAGAATGTTGGCTTACCATTCGTCCGGCATTCTGACAAAACGTGTGAAAATACGAATGCGTTCAATGTTGTAGATATTTATCCTTATGAAACATGGTCAGGGATTAAAACTGAGAAGTGAAATAAAATTTGCTAGTCCGGAATGTTGTGCTTGTCTAACTATTCAAATTGACGGATACCTCTTTGATTACGTGAATTGGAGTGTAAAAAAGAAAGCCTGCGTTTTAAACAGACATCCGTGAAATTTGGGAGACTCTGAATGCGACACCAAATGAAAGAATTAAACTTAAAAACGTGGGAGGTCCCTCAGCTATCACAATAAATTTCAATAAATTTCAACTTCATTTGGCCCTGTGATATTTCTATAAAAAAGCGTCTTGATCAACATTTTTTGAAAATCAGGCGAGATTGCCTGCTATTTCGGAAATTTGCCCGGTTTAATGTACAACCAAAACTGATTTCAAAAATACTGAAAGGTGTTGGTTGGCCCTCACTTCACAAATAACTGCTTGAAACTCCTGGTGGATAGTCACTTCTTGGGTCTAATTCCTCTAACAACCACAAAACAGGTCATTTGTATAACTGATTGCAACACCCTCAAGCGGTTTACTGACTGCAAAACTGTTGTCTATCACACAGCCGCATATTTTAAACTGTGAGAAGGAAACGGTTCCTTGTGACTTGCTGACAGTTGTTCGCAGCACCGTGTATCAGGCCTTCGTTGAATGCAAGGAATTAATTTGTTATTTCACACTTTGTGATGCACTATCCATAAGGTTGCTGAAAACTGTTCGATAGCCCATGACCGGTTTCGCTCTTCTTGGGGCTCATCGGGTAGGCGCCGTCCCAGAGTTTCCGTCAACCTTATATTCTACTTGAAACCAAGTAACACGAAATTAGAGAATCGCTTGAAAGCTAAGTTGGCTCTTTGAGACTGACCTTCAACCCCACGGTTTTATGTTTCCAGGCAACTGAATGTGCTGTCATTCATTTTGTTTACAAATCAGCTAAACAGGCTTGGTCGTAGGTCTGAGCAAAGCAAAATGATGTTGCAAAAGTTTCAGCTCCTGCTCGGAGTATAGTGGAACTTATCTATCCCAGTTTGCGCATGTATTTATGGGAACATATTGAGAAATTTTATGACCTGTGAGCATCCATTCAACTGAATAGATGACATTTTGGCTGCTAAATTGGATTCAGATGATGAGATTTTTGGCCCTAAAGATGAAATTGTGCAATCTTGGGGCATGGTAACTTTTTAGGGACCGGCAGTTTTGGCCAGGATTACCTACCCGTACAATGCTTTGGAACCTCGTTATGCACCATGTCCGTGAGCTAATTAATAAGGACAGAAATTAATTGCAAATTCCGTCCTAACCACCCATGGAAAGGCACATTGTTGAGCATGGTCTGACGATGTGCTTACGTCCACCACATTTTCAAGACATTTTAGGATTTTGTCCAAAAATTCAGCATTATGCTGAAAAAGTATACTTATATTGAAAAACAACTTATGCTTGCCCACACGGCGATAACACTGTTAATCGACAGCTAGCAGCACCTCAATTTACCCACCAAATCAACCGCGTTTTTCCAATCGTGTACGGCCAAATGCAAACGGGCCCTGCGGATTAAGGTGTGTCACTTACAAACGCGCGGTTTGCATAGTTCACAACAGTTTGTGTGCCGTAATAAATGGCGAAACATTGCTCACTTGTTTGGTAATTTGCTGCGAAACCCTTGTGTGCAACTGAACCATCCGTTTTCATGTGGATTCGCAGAGCGTTGCTCGTTGATTGGACTGACGCAGGCAATTCTGTCCCACTCCATCGATCTATCATGTTTCCCAGTTCATCTCCAAATACATTATACACGCTCACGAAATCGAAATTCCGTTCGAGCTGAAAGTTAATCAGTGACCGAGCAGTACAGGTTGGATGCCGTTTGGGGTGACAGGCACGGGAATGTATAAAGTAGAACATGTGAATCCCCCCGGAAAGTAATTTCACTCAAATGCCTACGTTGCTGGTAACCTAATCGACTATTTGAGAACGCTAATATCTACATAAAAAACTGCAGAAGACGCCCGGTAACGGACGTAAAGATTTTCCCGCGTGAAATCGGTCGAGGGCGAGTGGTCACAGTTGGGTTGTACAACGCACCCACAATCCAACCAGAGTCCGATATTTTCCGCACATGCAAGAAGATTATTTAAAATGTAAGGAATTTAAAAACAGTGCTGTGGTAATGCTAATTTCGATCAGGGTATCGCAATCTCCAGAATTGTGTCTTCTAGGTGAGCAGTCGGTTGTTTGAATGCTTAGGCTTTTTGGTATTTGTCACACATGGGGATAATCCCATGACCAACCTATAATCTGATGTTCTCCTGCTAGGGATATAAAATTAGAATCACTATATTGCTCTTCAGTTACCTGTCTCTTTTGTCAGAATTAGCCCGCGGAACGCCTTTTCGGCTAACAAATCTGGTGAACTAAATTTGCTCGGAATTGCACACCTTTGTTTACTCAGTCGAACTGAGGTTCTGAACTAAGGTCCTGAACTGCAAAGAAAACGACGATTTTTATGCACCGATCCAACAGTGGGACCACCAAATACGTGATATCTTCACTTGTGTCAACTCTCCACTTACTCAAACTAACAGAGCTTGCGTACGCGCCCTCACAAAGGCATCTGTAACATTCAGTTTTGTTTGAATGTATGGTTCCTGCTTTAGTTTATTACAGCTGATCTGCGGGAAGGTTGAGTTGGAAAGTAGGTCTCTATGCGTGGTGGATTCGGCGCCCTACAAGAAGGAATAACATGAAGTACTCCCAGTGTCCATGGAGCACGTTAATAAATAATGCACGTTTTAAGCAGCCGTCGAAACTGAAGCTTGTTTATATGTGTACATTTATTCATATTTGCTTGTGAATACCCAGGCATTCAACAACAAATTTCCAGAGAAAATTCTCACATGTCTTCCTTTTGGAATTGGAAGAGTGTAAATGCTATCTTTTTCGGAATGTAGGGGTCTAGCGTGAAAAGTACGAAACATAACTTTACTTATTTGCGACAATACATTCGAGTTTCACTGGGAAAAGATAGCTTCCCTGCCTCAATGCACTGACTTCACTCAGGGAACAAACTCTTCTATCAGTTTCCCAAAAACTCTGTACAAAACATGACAAGGTTGTTTAGCAAGGCGGAGCATGACTGGCATAACTGAGGGTACCTAAATTGTCAACCATAAATGTCCTAAAACCGTATTACATGCTCTACTTTGAGGTCGTCGACATGGTCCAGAATTTCAGACCACGATTCATTCTGTACTGACACTCCACATTGCAGTCGCGCATCGCTTTCAAATATCTCTCAGTTTACCATTTGAAACAAATTGGAAACTTGTTGACTGGACATCATTTGGAAACGTTTATGCAAGTGACTACTTGAGACCCACGAATCTCTCCGTGTTAGAGATTCGGGCGATTTGCTTACAGAACTTTGAAACGTTACGAAATTCATCAGTCTTGTTCTTTGGGCCTTTTGCTTACCTCGAGTCCTAAGTACATTTTCAAACCAAACAAAAACAAACACAATATTTCAATAGTGTTCATCAGAGACAGAATTGAACAGAAAAACTCACCAAGAAGTCAGAAAAGTTCAGCTGAATGACGCAACCTAGTGGCTGCACAATAATCCATGAATAGCGCAGCCTGTTTGGATACGCATTTGGGTAACCAGGTGATGTTACATTTCCTGAACTCAACGTTGAACAACAGGCATAGAATGATTCATTCCTGGTCACTTCATTTTCTGACCTGTCTTCTGAATTGAACAAACGATTTTTATTGCCAAAGCATGGCCAGGTAGATAGAAATCTAGAAGCTCTTTAGAACCTTGCCCTACTTGGGCTTTTGGCAAACAGTTGCGGTAAAGTATGTCACACAAAACACTTTGTCACTTTATAATACAAAGGTTGAAAATCCGAATTTTGCAGAAGGGCTTGTGATACTGGATAATTTGCTAGAGATTTCTCAGGATATTCTCTGCTCCAGAAGTATGCCTCTGTTCAGATAACGACAATAGTACTGATAATACCCACTGGCAGATGAAAGACATCAATTTCAGTTGTCTGAAGGGAACAAGGCTCTTCCTTTCCAGTCTTCATATATATAAAAATACAATCCACGCCTTTGTAGTATCGTAATTTTTTGAGATTTCCTCGTCCTACATTTGCTACGCAGAAAAAAATTATCTCCAACTTATTCACCATGTTTAGTGCTATTCACCTCTCTGGATAATGAACGTACTTCGCTAGACTAAAAGTTGAATGAATTCAAAACGGGACGTCTATTCTAAATTGTAGTGTGTCAATATCAATGGAAAACAACAAGACACAACGATCTGAATGCAATCACAGATAACTTCTTCACTTCGATATTAAATATGACACGCCTTACATAGTGAGTGAGCAGGTGGCGAAACAGTTTGGCGTAAAACGAGCACATTACTCACCGTTTTCTGGACAGCCTTGGATATAAAGTGTATAGAACAGGTAATCGACAGTCAGATTTCTGGTAAACGTCAATATTTGTAAGGACTGTCATTTATCTGTAACCACTTTAAGCGTAAACCATGCAACTTTTACTTCCGCATGATGAAACAGAAACACAGAATTTAGGCACGTGACATTCCGTATAGCGCTCAGCAGTCATGGCTTCAATGTCCCATAACACGGTACCATACCATGCATCCAGTGTCATCCCACATTCTATTGGCCACTGTATTTAGCAACACAGTCTGCTATGCATAATGTGACATCCAAACAGGTTGGACTGAAACGGACTACAAAACGCTTCAGCTTGGTAAACCGAGGGCAACTGTCAGCTCAAATCCTGTGGGAATATAAGTTATTTCATTTTTCTTTCTTCCCGAAGTTTTATTCGGTGTTCCTTCAATCACTCCCACTTTGATAATGCGCGTCCTACTCTTGTTTTTTGTTTAATTTTTACCTATACTCACACGCACTCTCACAATTGCGATCAGTAATGCTACGTGGGTAGTACAAAACAATACGTTCTGCAAGGTTACGCTCTGCTTCACCTGCTCAATGCCCCCCTCGCAAGTAAGCCATAAGTCTCATTCCATATCTGGAAGCAACAGTTATATCATTCAGCCGATGCAACATGTTCAAAATACACGGATTTTCAAGGAAAATTCTCAGTAAAATTCTTGTGCTACTTCAGCGGAACCCAATGGCCCCAACCAACATTGACAGTCTACAAGATGTGACTCAATTCTCTTTCTGCATGTATATGAAACAGCAACCACCGAAAAACTTTGTTGCAACTGATCATCTAAGTACGCGCAACAATCTCTGTTTTTTTTAACAGCGCCAGATCATGTATGATGCTCAACCACCGGCCCGGCCAAAACCTCTGCCATATGAATCGTGCAATTCGTGTCTGATTTCGTATGTGGACCCGCCACATAAAACGTTACCAGCAAAATCAAAGTCAAACAATTTGCAGTCATATGCCACAGCGCACGATACATCCGGCTTCTTACAGTTGTTACTTCCACGCGCCACGCACTCATTTTCGTTCATCCTTTTGGAACATTTAGAATCCTCAAGGCAGTCCTTGACCGGTCGAGCAAACGAACTACCCCTGGCGCGCTACACAGGCAGTCGGATAACGTCCTGCGTTTTTCGCCTAAAACAATTCAAAACACTTTATTCGGCGCCCATTTAATTCAACGTTTCATGAGTACTGTTTGCCAACAAATACGAGCAGGTATATCGTCAGTAATAATACTTTTTTCGCTGCATGAGGCTCAAGCATCACCTATTGTCTGAGAAAACCGCACCAGCGCACTGTGCAGCTGTCAAACATTGTTAAATTACACGCCCCCGGTGCACGGTAGACAAAATCCAAGTGTGATATTCACAATCATCCCAACATCGTCCCAAGAATTTGATGTCGTTGTGGTCCTCGTGAAAAGCTGAAATTCGTCCTAACTCATTCAATTGGGTCTGGAATTTTGACCGACCACAAATTACGGCTGCCCTAATGCGTATAAGCTCCGCATACGTTTGGACAGAATTACTGACAAAGGCAACCCATATGACAGATCTACACTAAACCACACGCTCAAACCGTCATCTTCATTTCCAGCCATCAGAGGTGGGAAGTTTCCTGATCAGTCACCTCATTTCAACTTTAACTTTGTTCACGATGGAGTTTACAGTTTCTGTTCGATTGAAACCTACGCTAAAATACTTAATCTCATGCCCAAAATCGTCTCTGGTTTGTTTTCCTTTTTTGAGTTAGTAAGGAGCGTGTTCAGGTTACCTAGTGGAATCAGAATTGTAGAGTGCAAATTTTGATACGAGCACGTATTTCAACCCATTTGAGTCAACTCACTTTGCGAATAGTTCGCCAAGTACCCGGGATTAAGAGTCCCGTCGTCGCTGGTCTGCAGTGCAACCAAAAGCGTTGCGGATGATTGAATCTGCGGGGGGTTTTCACTTCCAGTCCAGCTGCCGAACGATCCGGTGTCATTTGTAATATTCACATAGTCGTCCCCTAGCTGGAAACACATCAAACGCCAATTGAATTCTGAGAATTTCTGCATGATGAAATGTCGGCAGTCGCTATTGATTCATGTCAAAATTACATATGTTAACAACCTTTACCCACCATTTGGACGCAGGTTTTTAACGATAGAAAACGCAAACAGGCAGCCGTTATGCGACTGTTACTATTCGCGCTTCTCTCGCAAGAATCAATGCCACAAATTGAAATATTACTTATATACAGTTTAGCGCCAACGCACTTCCTGGTGTCAGACTGCACTCAAGGTGCTAAATTCATGGTGCTGGAAGAGCTTTTGACCCAGCTTCTCCCAAACGGTACTTTAAATGCAAAATGCACAACCATCAACCAATCGACACGCACCACCGCGCTCTACACTAAGACACTGATGTCACCAAGATTGGTGATGAAAATTTTGCAGTCAAATCGTCCAGCTTATAGAACAAGCCAAAAACCATAAATGCAACCTATTTTCACACGTACTCATCCGTGATTGATGAAACATGGTGATAGATGCCAACCTGTATCTGGCTGGAACCCTGGTGCTTTAGTCTGCAGAAATTTTCAGTGGCTATATGAATTGTCTCAGCTAACTACTCGACAATGCTCTCTCTCAAAATTTAGTCCTTAAAAATGCCTTGTTTGTACCAGAATCAATGAAATCTACGGTACCCACGTTGCCACTGGACGTTTCTCATATATCAATTGGAATAGTCCATAGGAAACTTCATTTTGAGAATTTTTCTTACCCGAAATTCGCGAAAATTCAAGCGAGTGGAACAGTTTTGTGGAACGCCAATTGTAAAAGTCCAATGCAAATCTCTTGGATATGGCTGCGGGTAGTTTGGAGACGTGATGACACCTGCTGGAAGGTTGGTTGTGCACACCCCGATTGATTTTTTCTCGGATACTGGAGATCGCCCACAAATAGAAGTATTTTGACGAAATTATATTTGGTGGCTGGTAGAGCTAACGTGAACAAATGCGGTGAACAAATGCGGAAAGGAGATTCCACAACGACAAATCAGAAGACATTATGGCCCACAAAAATGCGAGTGATTTTTCCGGACACCTGTATGGAAATTGGTTTCCCGCGGTCATTTATGGGGATCAAGTATTTTCATCGAAAAGCGTTTTTTTCCTCAAGCAAGCAATGGGAATGACAGACTCCTAACAAAAATGACAAAAAAGCTTATGAAATGTAACTCGTTAAATAACGTTCCATGTAATCAGCATACGAGGACTTTTGAAAACTAAACAACTATACCTGGAACGTTTTTCACGCTGCCAACCCAAAATACATCTGCGACCAATTTTGCGTGCAAATTGTCGACAAAGCAGTTCTTTCAAAGCAGCTCTTTTAGTTTGATGGCATGCGTGTAGATCTGTGCATTCATGACTAGGATGAAATGGGACTGATTTGCTAGTGGAACCTGAGAGCAGATATTTCAGTGTATTGTGCCAACAGAAATGATGGCGCTGAAATTCAACAATGGTGGTGGTTCAATAGTAAAAATGAGTCATTTCAAGCAATCTCCCGAGGGTTATACAAAATGTAACAGATATTGCACAAATAAGAGATTTGTGGAAGGTGGACTGATTGTTTCGTGGGAATGTACATCAAATCAAGTCGGAAATAATTAGAAAACAAAATACTCTCACCAGCTCTCACCGGGAGCCAGTACGACCAAAATGTAAACAAACTGCTCCTCCAAGAAAATCATTTTGCTGAAAATAACTCTCACATACAGATGTCCAGATATATGGATCGTAAGGCGTACATTTGTATTTGTCCAATCAAAACTTTCGGGACTTAAAGCAATTTTGATTGAACAACTGACTACATACTGCCATTGGCGAGCTCTGAAATATGCATTCCAGTTGATCTCTTTCTACTGTAGGCCAAACTGAAAGCAGTTTTCTCAAATTTCATGTGAAAAATTGATAACGTAGAATTATCGATGTGGAAAACTGGAAACTGACACACTGTATTGCGTACTTCGAACTCTGGTATGTGTGCTGGAGATTACTAGCTTATTCATTCGACTAAGTTTGACGAAACACTACACTGCTATTCCTTTCGGATGATTATCGGCAAAATTCACCATCAAGGCCTTGTGAGAAGCTCCAAGCAGCAACTGACTTCTACGTTTCCACCATACCAGAGGGCACTGTGGTCCTAACGATTCCAATGAATGCAGATCACTTCAGGTGTCTCCGTGAACTTCGAATAGTTAGCCTAGAACTCAAAACAGTGCATTTAAGTTGCACTAACCTCAGCAACATCAACAATAGCTGGATTCGAGCGTGAGATTACGCGGACGTTCTGGTGACAGATGACATAGCGGTCCTTTCACCTTTACATCTGGTTCATGTTAAAACGTCGAAAGTTTTCGTTCTTTTAAATACACAACTGACTTGCTATACAATGGATGTAATTTTGAAATATACCAGCTAATGTGGATTAATTTCCAAAGCCTCAATTATTTGGTATTAAAATATACAACACTTTCTTATCAGTGGCCATCGGTGACATTTTCAGCAAAATTATCGGTAGTAAAATTTAGCCGTTGCGAATGCATTTTCCAGAACGACGCCGTTTAGTTTCATTATGGCGTGTATTCGGTATATTATATAAAGTCGTTCTTGCCAGAGTTGGGTGAAATAGTTTGGCGCAATCATCTTCAATTGGGATAGAACCCCAGTGTCTTTCCACCGAAAGCCTTTCCTGATTATGTTCGATCAGGCCATTTTGCTGAAAGAAAAAATGGGTTACGCCAAGTTTCCTATGTCTAAGCAACAGCAATTATCTGCGGTGCTTCTTATTTTATTACTTGGACGGTGTAGATGGAAGCTGATCAAACGAACGCAAGTTAACTCAGTTACCTGTTATGTCTTCAGTTGTTTCCAGTCAAACACAAGATGAGCCAAGAGGACACTCCCTTTGTTGTCAACTTTCGACAAAATTTGAGATTTTTCTACTGCCAATTAGGCTGGTGGAAATTTGCCGTCTGTGGCACATGATTAGTTCCCCAGCTTGAAGGGATACATGCAGCTTATAGGTGACGTTCTGTCTACCACACATAAGCACCCGCTCCTTAACCACATCAGTAGTTAGAAGTTCGCTAGTTCCAGCCGATTATGACTGCGGTTTCGTAATAATAATAATAAATACAACGCTTCATGATGCATATTTTGTGGCCGCTAAACAAAGCAGTGCTGTAAAAATCTATGGGGTTTAAGTCATTGCTATTATCGCCAACATGAACTTACTTGAATATATTCGCTTACAGTGAACCTATTAGTTATTTTCAGATTTGAGACACTTAAGACACTCGGGTTACTGCTGCCGACGCAAGATTATCTTTAAATTGATTAGGCTGTTGTTGGAATTCTTCAAATACCAGAAGGTTTTGAAATCTAACGATACGGTGACATTGGGGGCATAATGAACACGACGACCGTCATTCCTACAAACAGGCAAAGCCTTCCCAATCCAAATAATTGATGATTTTCGTTTCTTTCGGAAGTTGCAAATTGTGAGACTGGCAAACTCCTATACATTTTAAAAGTACGTTTACCGATTTTCAGTATCTGCCATCTTCTGAAATGTAGGCCCACTATATGGTGATGCCGAAACCCACTTTCTTCGTCTTGAAAGTTGCAATGCTCTAAAAAAATCGGTAGCTTTCGGATGCAAGAAAGCTACCGTGTATTGTTCGCACTCCAGCCCAACTTATATACGTCGGGGGAACAAGGCCAACAATAGTGCCTGAAACAACGCACGCTTCACACGGCCACCACTGAAGCGACAAACACCCTTAACTGAACAAACACAGCGGATACTGCAACACAAACTGCTGATTCACACTTGTGTGACTGCTGGCCTGTAGAATTTTACCAGAGATCTCTCGCTTAAGGCCGAATAACTTACAGCCGAAGTTTAATCAATAACACAAATAATGGGAAGAGCGCATCTCGAAAGCTTCTGCAATGGTTCAAACCCAAAAGCTTGTGTTATCTGGTCGCACACGGTGGCTAATCGCTCGTTTGACTGACCAGCGCTTTAAGACAATCACTTACCTTCCGACAGTCTAATTTAAACCGTTTCCCTAGTAATGGTATTTTGGTATGCCAGGCTCCAAAAGCCTGTCAGAACATTCCTTTTCGGAAAAACGGTGGGCACTGTCTCTTTGCTTTTATTACCAAAACAACTGTCCCATTGTGTGTGCAGTCCCAGTGTGCAGTTTACTGTACCTGACAAATCGCTACGCTTGACAAAGTGATTAAGGCCAACTGAATCAAACCCATACGACCTTTCAATAGGTTGGCGCACTTTTCAAGCGTTTACCCTTCAGAACTTTGGTTCCGTGTCAGAAATTTTCCGCTGCAATGGGATCTAAGAACAGTAGTGAAACAGCATTTAACGAGAGGTTCAGTCACGTCTTCCATGAAAACCCAGCCCGTATGCAGATGATTTCATTTGCCAAAATATTAGATCCTGTTCGTAGATTTACCAGGCTTTCCAGTTAGCCCAAATAACTATGTCTGCGCATACACGAAGTAATGTTATTTCTCTATTTGTTTGCTCGAATATGAAAACAAAGTTCACCTTTCCTCTTCATTTATGTTACATGGATCCTGGACATCAAAATAGCGCACCTAGTTTGATCCATTCAAACTGCTAATATAGTGACGGGGTCTCATAGATGAGGTCCGTAAAAGCAGCGAGACACTTTTTTGTGAAAGGGTACAACTAAGAGATCGTTAGATAAGTTGTTTTCTGTGCCTCACCAGCCCTACGGCGACGGCTATTAACGCGTCAGTTTTGTAACCATACACCATTGTTCGCGGTTGGTCTGTGTATTCCTAGTTGTCTTGAACATCCCTAAATGTCTGATTTTGTTCAAAAGTGGACAAAAATCATACAGTTCTCCGGGAAACGTCTCCAGAACTGCCGTTTCTTTGAAAGTATTTAGGCTCGTGATACGGGCTTTAGGAATTTTTATAACTGAAGTTTGATTGAAAATGTATCGCTAAGGATGGCATATTTAATGTGGAAGAAATATAGCTAAACAGATCGCAGTGAATTCAATTCACCGCCTCAATTCAAAAAGGCTTCTGATGTCAGCGTACTCATTCGTCCGTAAATGTGTCTGCCAAATGCGACAAGAAAGTAAGCTGATTTATGTCCCGGAATCAACGCAATCCTCTCTTTACTGTGTGCCTCTGTTGTGTCATTGTCAGAGAGGTGCATTCTTTTTAGGTAAACTTGGTTCTTCAATCTTATCGACTGAATCCAGTGATTCCTTTTATTAACCAATCCCAGGAACATGGAGAAGACTCTGTTTCTACCCAAACTTTGCAGATGTCGTCGTGCGCTATGCAATTCCGATATCAAGTAGCTTGCCATCCATGACAGCAACCGTCATTTTGATTGGTGCATCCCAATAATATAGCACAGACCCGTGGAAATTATAAAATGTTTACGTGGCAACCGTCGAGGTGCACTGGTGCACAAGGCATTCTAAAGAGAAACCGCTCCGAAACTAACTCTATTTCATCGGAGATTCTTCGTTTGAGGGCTCCCAACATGATACATCTCGCTCAGCACTTAAGGTCTGAACGACGACAGGCGACAGTGGATCACGTTAAAATATATCGCTGAAAAATGACGGAATTTAAGAGCCAGCTTGCAAAATGAGACGAGCTAAGTAAGGTCCGAGAGACATCAAGCAACGATGCCCGGTCTCTAAACGAGATTTCGCAGGTAACAGAGGTCTTTGTATGCAAACTTCAAGCACCATGCTAAAGTTAATTGTTTCATCGATGTCTAAGCTAGCGAGAAACCCAGCCCACCATATTGATTTACCTAGTATGGCAAGAGGAACCGTGCCATCTTCAACCTCTTTGGTTTATGTGATTTGACAACCCTTAGAGATATGCACTGATTTATTGGCCATGGTTAT